AGACCAAAAACAATCGGCACCCCCCACTATCGGGCCCTTTGCTTGGTATCAGGGTATGAGAACCGGTAACCGAGCGCGAGGACTTGTCATTCATGCCAACGCACAACTCGCTCATACCCATGCCGGTAGCACTTGCCGCGCAACCTTTTCGCGAACGAGCGACGCGGTCAGTCTCTGCTATTTTGACATGCTGCTGGAACGATTCCCAGGCTTCCGAAACCCAGTGATTACACAAATTCTCTGGGCAAACACCCGAACCCCGAACCCCGAACGCACGTAAAGCAACGGTAACACTTTGAATGCGGATTCCATTCCTGCAATGGCTGCGTACACTCAGTACAAACTCGCCTCAAAAACTGAGGAGACAAAACCGGCGGTGAGCCTCTGGCGTTGCCAGTGCATCTGTCCATTTCTAAACACATTAAAAATAAAAGACGACAAGCATGAGGGAAAAGAATTACAGTTGTAAAAGGTGCCGCCATGAAATCAACATGTGACTACGTGGTGGCGCCCGGGTTTGATATCTTTGCTGTGGAAAAGCATAACACACAAAGAGGGGAAAAGCGACACGAGGGTAAAACGACAAGAAAACTTATCCTACCAGCTAGAATGTCGGATGCCGCGGCTGCGGCGACGACCCACGCTAGAAACCCGGACAGGAAAAAAGCAACAAAGCCAGGCAGAGCCGCTCAGAATCATTCCCCCACGAGGTGGAGAGAAACAAAGAGTGATGGACGGCTGCATATGGCGTTCCCATGTGGCCTCGGTCACGTGGGTTCGTGACGTAAGGGGTAAAAGAATCTTGAGGTCATGGGGCTTCCCCTGACCTAGATTCTATCTCTCCGTCACCGGCAGAATCGCTGATTAATGCCTACAGTTCAAAATAGTCATTTTGACTGACCGGAGTCTATGGTGGGTAATTAAACGTAGTGAATTGCACTTACTCTCATTTGTGATGAATGTTAGAAACTCCTGCATTTCACTCAGTTTTTGAACACATTGTAACTTAGATGAACGAATAGTTCCCATTAAAGTATCCGTCCCAGACCAATCCTGACAAAAACAATAAATATGTGTAATGTGTTTAACCTTTTGACAGCTCAATATTTTTCCCATTCAAAATTCAATGCAAATATTTGCAATATTCTTTGTCACTAAATTTCATCATCATCATCATCATGGTCTATATGGACAGTTTCAGATATTGCTTTTGGTTTTGGTTTTTAAGAACATTTCAAGAGGGGAGGAGCAGACTCAACACAATTATTTTGTTACTGGTGCCAAAAATCGACAATGGTGCTCAGGGGATTTAACAAGAGGTTGTTAGGAATTGGAAAATACTGAAATTACCCTTACAGCATTTCTGTTCTGAACACCTGTTGTCCTGTCCAGAACTCGATCTATAATACTCTATCTGTCAAGAACAGCACTGATAACTTACCTGTAGGAATGACTGTATACAGTTAGCTGTATAGTATCTTGCTCTGTCATAATCATCTTGTAGTAGGTACAACATTGCAAGCGCCTCACTGTAACGATTCTGTGATCATAGAGAAGTACAACAGCAAAAGATAATTTCACATTAAACTTTTCACCACCAGACTTTTTGCCCAAAAATTTTCTGCACTTTTGTTCTGGAACTGAACCCTAATTTTGAAGCCAACAGACAAAATTTGAGTCAATTATCAGTTTTTATTCTAAAGAATTGGCCATTTTTGTCACAAACTTCTGAAGAAAAGTGCAGACTATAAACGGGACTATTTTGTGAATTTGCATGTGATGAAAAGGGGAACTGGTGGCGAAAAGGTTAAAGTCAATCGATAACTTATATACATTTTATTGCAGAATAAATTATTTAGTTCACACTACTTCAAATAGTCTTGTTCTCCACAGTTCTATAATGACCGTCTCTTCAAATGTTACTTTTCTTACCTCAATCAAAGCTTTTCGTTCTTTATGTTGCATCGATTTATCTATAAATGTCAACAAACTCTGATCGTCAGTGTCATCATCTTCCATCAGTAACTTGAGTTTACTTTTAATGACATATGGCAAATAGTGCTCCTATCAAAAGGCAAATATTTTCAACATTGAACATTTTGACAAAATATTTTCGGTATATGAATAGGAATATTTTAAAGCGGAGAGATTGCCAGAAATTGAAACACAGGTGCGACTTCCTCGCTTGAGTCTTGACACACAAGATATCATTTTGGTGACAGCACCTTCCATTTTTTTGAATTTCAATGGACAGAGCAAACAATACAGCATTCTTTTGCATGTGCATGACAAGCATTTGGTCGGTATGTACAAGAGTCAGTCTTACAGGATGCATGGATGATAAGCATTCAGTCAGTATGTATGTACAAGAGTCAGTCATGCAGGATGCATGGATGATAAGCATTCAATAAGTAGATACAAGAGTCAGTCATGCAGGATGCATGGATGATAAGCATTCAATAAGTAGGTACAAGAGTCAGTCTTACAGCATGCATGGATGATAAGCATTCAGTCAGTATGTACAAGAGTCAGTCATGCAGGATGCATGGATGATAAGCATTCAATAAGTATGTACAAGAGTCAGTCATACAGCATACATGGATGATAAGCATTCAATAAGTATGTACAAGGGTCAGGTTTGCAGCATGCATGAATGATAAGCATTCAGTAAGTATGTACAAGAGTAGAGTCAGTCTTACAACATGCATGGATGATAAGCATTCAGTAAGTATGTACAAGAGTCAGTCATATAGCATGTATGGATGATAAGTATTCAGTCAGTATGTACAAGAGTCAGTCTTATAGCATGCATCGATGATAAGCATTCAGTAAGTTTGTACACAAGTCGGTCTTACAGCTTGCATGGATGATAAGCATTCAGTAAGTATGTACAAGAGTCATGCATGGATGATGAGCATTCCTGCAGCCAGAAATGGTCATATTATTGCATACAAAGGAGTCTTACCTGGTAGTATGTATCATCCCATATCTTATCAAGATCAGGAGGATCATTATCATCAATGTTGATAGTAGATGCCTGTTCTAATTTCTGCCAATCAGTCAACTGCTCATAGCACTGCAAACAAAATGAGGACAAAGAAATGCAATCACACTAATAACAAAATTAAAGACATTAATGCAATAGAGGGCAATTTATTGTCAGATTGTTTTAACAGAAGACATCAAGTTTAATGAATAAGTAGATGAATTATTACCTGCAATCTACAGTCATCCCATAGGTCTTCTTCTACTTGTTCTGGTCTTCCATCTGGCCAGTCAGTACATCCAAGAGCCTGACAATCAAAACATTAGGTAGTTCCTTCATAATTATTACACTAAATGTTTCCTACCATAATCATTTACACAATCAAACCCAATCAAATTCTTCACCATCTAGCTTTGTAGTTTTCTGGAATTCACACTAGCCTTACCTCATCATAAAGATTTGCAGCTTTTTGATAATTTGCACTAGCCTCAGCTTCAAGTGCTTCTCTGGTTACAGGCTGTGTACCGACTTTTCCACTGAAGATGCCACGCAGCACATCAAAATTATCAAGGTCTTTGTACAACCTAAAGAGAAGAAACAAACAATGGAAAATTTAGCCATGCTTCACTGAACTTGGTAATAAGCGATGCAATGCAAATGTTGGTCAGTTAAGAACACTGAATTTTACCAACCTGGATAATTCAATCCATGTACTAATTTCCTGGGAGAGGAGTGACGCTGATCCTCTTGGCCTTTTTCTGCTTCTCTCCTCCTCTCCAGATTTCTGAACAAGATACTCTTCCAAAAGTAGAAGACCTGGATGTGAGAGAGAAGGCATTGATGGGTTTTTAAAACCAATCTACTTGATTGAAGGACTCTAGTTGTGATGCATGCTCTCTAGAATTGAATCTCATTGAAACCTAAAATTGTATTTGCTCCATATTGAATTTGGGAATAAATTATGTGAGATTTAAACAGAGCTGATAAGATGAGGTGATGTGAGCAACATTCAGTTTAATCTCAGACTGGTTCTTTCAAGTTATGAAGACACTACTTGAAGTCATACACAAGACAGTACGGTATATGGTGCTACAAACAAATATGGAATTGTCACATGGTATGTAACTTACCGAGTGGTTGTTGTTGACTGATGAGAGATGCTGTACTGATTCCTTGGGCATCCAACATGAGTTCTTTACAGTTATGGTATGCTATATCCTAAACAGTAAACACAATATACAGATTGTAAGAGAAATAATTATGACTTGTGATCAGATGAAAGCAAAGCCACCTATTCTGTTGGGGTGAAATTGTTACTACATTGAAATTGTATCACTACAACATCTGAGGAGGTAGTAATGAACTAACCTCAATACATCCAATAAAAGGCGAGAAATACTGGGTAGAATTACTCAGCATAGAGTTCAAGTGTTCGTTGATATTTTTAATGATTTCTTCGCTTTCTCTCTCTGTTTTCTCTTCTGCTATCTGAGCAAACACTCCACAAAACAATGAACTGAATAACTGACGAGCAATAGCTGTATCCCTCTACAGGTGAAAACAGATATTTAATAAAGTTAATTATAAGACAGCCTTTAGTGCGAACTCCACACAGTTCGATACGCGTTACTTATCATCACTGCACAAAGCAGCTTTGCATGGAACTTATTTGCATATTCGAATGTGTTCGAACTACAATCCCTTGTCGGTTAACACAGTAACGCTTAAGCCACAGTGTTACTTCAATATCACTTTAATAAAACGTTTTACGTCCTAAATCTAAAAAAACTGTTTGATTAATTAAATTAAAACATACATGTTTTACGCTTGGAAAGTGCAGTCCTTTCAAAGTTATCAAGACATTAGATTATACAATAAATTACTAACTTTATAAACTTATTAAAACCTGTGTGTTCTATAACTGTTAGACGCGGAGAATCAAATCCATTCAAGCTAGAAATAGTATTGAAATATTCACCAGAAAACAAGACGAACAGATTTGTTAAGAAATCCCTTTGAGTAAAACAACTCATTGAAAATGACACAGTCCCCGTTAAATTTTTGAAAGTTCTCTTTGTGCTTGTCATATTAAAGCGAAGGGGTTGTCGCGAACGTGTCTTTGAAACTTGAGTTCCAAGTGGCATATACAACATTTTGAATCAAATCACTACACCACTGATGTGCATATGTCCCAAATAAGGTACTAGGCACATGCAAAGAATGAACGGAATCGGTCCACAGGATTCTGAAATATGACTCTGGACAGACTGACGCACAGACGGACACACGGACCGACGGACGGACAGACTCAGGAACTCACGGACGGTCAGGGACATGTATCCTAACATGTATGATCTATGTACTAAATTTGAATAAAAACTGACAAAGCATGTCCCATAATTCAGCATTTTCCAAAAATAAGATGGCTGCCAGTCGGCCATTTTGAATCGAATCGCTGAACCACTGCATGTGCATATGTCCCACATAAAGTACTAGGCACATGCAAAAAATGAACGGAATCGGTCCAAGGGATTTTGAGATATGACTCCGGACGGACGCACGGACACACAGACGCACGGACGGAGATCGAATTATAAGTCCCAGTTTTCGGACTTCGTCCGAACGGGGATGAATTAGTGTTTAATGTTTCTTCCCCCATCTTATGTACATAAACAGAAGGCTGTTTTCCCTAGTTTTAGTTTATCACGTGCGCCATTTCACTACAATAACATTACCTTGCAAAACATAGTCCGTGATAAAATGGTTCATAATTACGTTTTTACTAAAGTCTGACATTAATAAATAGTTCGGATGTCACATACGTTTTTTTTTCCACTTTTTGTAGTACGTTTTCAGATGTAACAATTACAGGAAAATTACCGTGCGCAGTGAGGTGATTGACCACAAAATTGAAGGCTGCCTGTGGCAGAGGCACAATTGCGTAAAGCGCAAAGGCCTCTGAGAAGGAGATTGCCTTTAGTGATGTCACTAGTATGGCAGCCTTTAGGTATGTCACTAGTATGGCAGCCTTTAGGTATGTCACTAGTATGGCAGCCTTTAGTCTATTTCATGCATTTACCTGTGCCAATGCTTGCAATGGAGCTATGAGATACATGTGTTTAATTTGAATATCTGGCAGATCACCTTGACGATAGCTCCTGTATAGTGTCACCATGTTATGTCGTCTCAGTTTCTGCTCTTTTTGAGCTTCCTGTGGAGAAAGATACAAAAATTGTAATTTTTATTCTACAAAACCCAGGTTACATTAATTGGGCAAAATCACAACATTTGTTGCTTTGACAAGACCAACCAATAAATTATCACATGATCAAATTAATGAAATTGACAACCTCTCTCATTTTCTTGAGTCTTATTTCTCTTCTAGCAAAGAATGCTCTTGATGCTTCCTGGTCTTTCAGAAATCTTCGTTTCAGTCTCATGATTTCACGGTCAGTTTGACTAGTGTCTGAATTCAACAACAAAAAGTTAATATATTAATGATTTACTCATGTCAAAAAATTTTCACAAAGTTACCCAAATTCAATTATAGAGTTTTTTTCACTGAAATGCATGCTTTTGCAAGAAAAAGTCTGTATGATTTGTAAGTTACATTCATTTGATAATTGTCTAAGCCCCAAAAAATGATTTTGCTTTTTATCATCATGCAGGACAAATTGAAACCTGCACCTCACATTTCTTTTTGCATTTTCACGTACCCTTCAATACTTTGTACAATAGCTCAAGACGTTTATTAATATTATATTTAATACCTTCTGTACTATCTGTTTGGTCTTTGCCAGCTCCCATTTTATCTTTTCCGAATCCAGAACTCACAGGTTTTCTTGTGATTGCTTTTTTCTTAGTGGTTCCAATGGTGAATAACAATGATGACTGACTGGTTTCTGTTCCTGTTGATGATGAGAACTCAGAAAATGTATCCTGACTTCCAGTTAGCCAATTATATGCAGTCTTCTTGCCATCTAGTATCAGAAAAAAAAAATTAAAAAAAAAAAATAGAAAAAAAAAATATTTTACTCATTGAATGATAACACAATCAGAAAATTATGAAATTTTTAGTTTATAACAAGCAGCCTATCGGCTGAGATAGCTCCGCTGTTAGCAATGCACATTTCAATTAAAGAACTGAAGAAATCATTAGAAAATGAACAATATGTATAGTATCAAAGCAATCGAACTTGCAGTTTTTAACAAGAAGTCGAAAATATCACTTTCTACCAAAAATGACAAAAATATTCACCAAAATTAGAGAATTGAAGATATCATCACGAAATGAACAAATCTGAGAAAGGTCTACATGTAGTACCTATATATGTAATATCAAAGCAATTGAACTTTTGGTTTTTAACAAGAAGTCGAAAATATCACTTTTTACCAAAAATTACAAAAATATCACCAAAATTAGAAAAATTAAAGATATCATCACAAAATGAACAAATCTGAGAAA